TAGATAAAAATTTTAAAAAAAGTCAGGTGTAGTGGCACATGCCTTTAATCCCAGCACGCAGGAGGCAGAAGCAGGTAGATCTCTGTGAATTCAAGGCCAGCCTGGTCTACATAGCAAGTTCCAACCCTGCTGGAGCTACAGGGAGACCCTGTCTCAAAACACCACAAAAAAAGGAAAATAATTACTATAAAATAAAAATATTTTGAAAATCATTTAACACATTAGTGTGGTTATTAATAGTCGAAAGGCCCTGCTGAGTGAGAAAAGCTGATCTTAAACGCTCTAAATAGGCTGACTAGACCTCAGTGGAAGAACTTGTACTGAGAGTAGTTTGGGGACACTAACAAGACAGGATAAGCCTTAACACAAATGACAGAATGCACGAACTCCATCCAGTGTGGAGGCTATGGGAGGGGGCCAATGGGGAAGACGGTATAAAGATGATTAAGATGTTCTATATGAAATACAAAAAAATTCAATTAAAAATATTTGGAAAAAATGTTAGAAGGGCCTTCCATTTAAATTTCGTACAAGCAGGGGGGATTAAAAACACAAGAAAACCCCGCCCTGTACAGTGTGAGGCGGTCTTGTTGAAACCAGCAAGGAAGAAGGCCTTGGAATCGCGGGTGGATGAACCCCCGCGGGTTCCTGACCAGACAGGAGAGGAGACAGGAAGACTTGCAGGGTTCTCGTCCACCTTGACCATCTCCAGGGACGATTTGATTCCAAATGCCGCAGATGGAGCCAATGGCCGCACCTACCTCACAGGGCCGTGAGGAGGAAAGACAAAAACACTGACGGGCCTCGAAGCGCTCGCTTAGAGCTTCCCTGGAAACGCTGCAGCTCAGCTGGATTCGCCCGGCTGAGCCCTAGACGCTCCGCAGATGCGTGGGCTGGTCCCCCGCCCCCTCCCCCCACCCCCCGCGCCCTGCTTCCGGTCGGTGGGCCCGGGCATCCGGTGGCTCGGTCTCCGCAGTCCAGAGGCCCGCGCCCCGCGGGCTCCGCCCTCCAGGTCCGTGCAGGTGGCTGAGAGCCTCGGGTGGAGGACGGACGTCCGGAGCGGGTGGACAGCCGCAGCCACGGTGGACACTCACCATCTTGAACCGATCTGCAGCTCCGCTTCGCCGACGCCCAGCCGAGTTCCGTGCCTTTCCGAGCCTGCGCACACGTCTCCATCGAGATGGACAGCCGGGGCAGCCAATCAGGAGCTGGGGAAGGGAAGGGGGCGGGCCAGAGAGCAGAAGTTAACCCCCGTTGGGGGCGTGGCTGTTTGGGCGTGGAAGCGTAGAGCGCCAGTGGAAAATTCCGGTTCTCCTGCGAAGTCGAGAGGCTGGCTCTTCCTGTCGGTTTTCAGTACTCCAGCGAGGTCTGAAAACCCTGGGTGGCGGGTGGTGGGAGAGTCTGAAGGCGAGGGCGGCGGTTTCTGCGACTCTGGCCCAGATTGAGGCAGAGGCCGGAAAGGCGGTGTGGACGCCCTCAGCTCAGGTGTCCAGGCTGGGCATCTTGGGAGTAAGAACTGGGTTGCATTGGTGATGGTGGCCCTGGGATCACACGGTTTAGGATCCAAACACACACTCCTGCGTTACTATGGAGAGGCTGATTTATGTTAAAACACACTACCATTTAGTGAGCTTGTGTCACGTGAACGCTGCTGGCCTGCCTCACACAGCAGCCTCTCCGTGTCACTAGCACCCGGGGCTTGGGGAAATCGAGGCTGATCCACCTCCAGAGATCCAGAATTTAGTGCTTCTTCCAAGGGATTTGCACGCTAGAATGAATGGACAGTGACTTCAAGATAATGGCATCTATATTGATTTCCCAAAATCCAGTCTTGAATTATAAGAAAACTAAACCCATATCGAGGGACAGTCTGTAAGGGATCTGAACAAAAAACTCAAGGTCAACCAGGCATGGTGGCATTTACCTGTAATCTCAGCACTTGGGAGGCTGAAGTAGGCTTGATCCTGTCTCCAAATAAAAAACAGAATAACCCTCAATCTCAGCATCATGAAAGACAAGGAATGAATGAGGAACTCACAAATTAGAAGAAAAACATTAGTGGGGAAAAAAAGTGCAGGAGTTCTTTGAACTATGTTTTGTTTTGTTGAGACAGGGTCTTCCTGTAGCCCCAACTGACCTGGAACTCACTATGTAGACCAGGCTGGCCTTGAACTCACAGAGATCTCTCCTTCCCGAGTGCTGGGACTAGGCGAATGCCACCACACTCGACTTTTTGGGTCTTACTGAGACAGGGTCTCTGTAGCCTCAGCTGGCCTGGAGCCCCCTATATAGACCAGGTTGGACTTGAACTCACAGAGATCCTCCTGCCTCTGCCTCCCAAGTGTTGGGATTAAAGGCCTGCAGGACACATTTTTCAAAGTTTTAAAAAAGGATTTCAGGAGTTGGAGGAATAGCTGGGCAGTTAAGAGCACTTGCTGCTCCCACAGAGTTGCCAGTGTACATGTGACAACTCACAACTATTTGTAATTCAAGTTTTAGGGGATCTCTTCTAGTCTCCACAAGCACCAGCACATGCATGGTACACATACGTGTAGGCAAAACATTCATACTCATACTTTTTTAAAAAACAGGATTTGAAGCTGGGGGTGGGGGAGGCTGGCACATGACTTAAATTACAGCACTGGAGGCTGAGGCAGGCAGATCTCAGATTGAGGCCAGCCTGGTCTACATAGGGAGATCCAGGCCTGCTGGGGCTGCAGGGAGACACTGTCTCAAAAAGACAAGGAGGATTAGATACAACAAAATGGTTATTGAATGCTGGGAATATTAGGAATGTACCTCTAGGTCTTCATTCCAAGTAGGGGTGGAAGTGCTATAGTGAATGGACCCCCTAAACATTCTGGAAGTCAAGGGAAGGCTCATCACCTCCATTGTACACAGGAAGAACCAGACAGGGATACAGGATGGGGGCAGCTCTGTGGGAAGGATTCAGTGCTGGAGATTCATTTGATGGGACTTGAAAGTCCCATTATGTAGGATGGCTGAGTTGGCTGTGGGAAGACTGTCAGGGCTGTGGTTTGTGAATAACACAGTGAAAGGGTTTTGGAGCCAAGAAAGTCCTGGATTCTGATCTGTACTCTTTCTACTTTATACTACAGAGGTTATTAAACTATTTTAAGCTGCTATTTTCTTTAAAATAACCATTCCCAAGAGTAGCCAGAAAGGCGAATGACAGTGTAGTATGTCTCTTGTGTCTGGTAAATAGTGAGAAGTGGCGATAGTCTAGGATGATGTGACTGTAGATATGGTATTGGTTGCCATACTAGGGAAGTCAAATAGAACAGGTCTGAGTTGAAATTCTGAGGAAGCCCTTTTGCCTAAAATTACTCTTTGATGAACAGGAACGCATTCCTTGGTAACCAGGAAGATTCAAGTGACACACTTTAGCTGGGTGTAGTGGGACACATCTATAATCCCAGCACCTGGAAGGTGGAGGCAAGAGGAACTGGAGGCTAGCCTAGGCTACATGAGACCTTGTCTTTTTTTGTTTTGTTTTTTGAATTAGGGTCTCTTTCTAGCTCCAGTTGACCTGAAATGCATGTAGACCAGGCTGGCCTCAAACTCACAGAGATCATCTGCCTCTGCTTCCTAAATGCTGGGATTAAAGGCATGTGACACTACACCTGACCTTAGGCTGTTTTAAAAAGGAAAAAGGTGACTTTCGGGGCTGGAGAGATGGCTCAGTGGTTAAGAGCACTTACTCTTCTGAAGACTCATCAGTTCCCAGCACCCATGTCAGGTGGCTCACAACTGCCTGTAACTCCAGCTTCAGGGAATTCAGTGCTCTCTTCTGGCCATTATAGATACCCCCACATATTTACATACACATAAATAGTTTTAAGTGAAATTTATTTAAGAGTCATAGAAGCTCTGATGTATTTGAGCCAATGGTCAGTGAGAACAATTAGTTACTTTCACTCCCAATTGACTGTCTCCTCATCCTACATAGGCTGTATCTCCCTACTTGTCTTTAGCCACACTAAAGTTAGAGTTTTCCTTTTTGAGACAAGGTCTCACTGTGTAGCCCTGGCTGGTCTGGAACTACTATGTAAACCAGGTTTACCAGAGATCCACCAAAGGCATGCACTACCAGGCCTGACCCACATGCATACTTTTTAGAATCTCTCTGGAATTGACCTCATTGATTTCTCAGCAAGCTGACCTGGCCCATTCAACATGGTTTTTATTGTTCCTGATGTTAGTACATGTTCTCTTTTTATAACAAATCCACAACCATCAGAAGATATTAACTTGACATAGATGGCATACATTCATAACCACCATAGATTTTTCTCTTTTCCATCCATTATGTTCCTTTTTATTATTTTATTTATGTGTATGAGTGTATTGCCTGCATGTATGTGAGTGCACCTGTGTCGTCCAATGTCACGGAGGTCAGAAGAGGGCTTCGGATTCCCTTGGAACTGGAGTTAAGGACGGCTGAGCCACCATGTGGGTGCTGGGAATCGAACCCAGGTCCTCTGCAAGAGCAGTCAGTGCTCTTAACCACTGAGCCATCTCTCCAGCACCATATGTTCCTTTTAAAAAATATTTTTATTTTATATGTATGAGTGTTATGCCTGCATGTATGTAAGTGCACTCGTGTCATGTAGTGCCCATGGAGGACAGAAGAGCAACAGATCCCCTGAAACTGGAGTTATGGATGGTTGACCATGTCGGTGCTGGGGTCCAAATATGGGTCTTCTGCGAGAACAGCTAGTGCTCTTAACTGCTGAGCTACTTCTCCAGCCCCTCCATTATGTTCTTATAAATTCAACTTTGATTCTATAGGAACGTTAGTAGTTTCCTGGTGAAGCAGGGAAACAGTCTGTTAGCGATGTCCCTCAGGAGGAAGTGCAGAGGATCCTCATCCTTTCTCTTCACTAATACAGACCAATCTAAGAGAAGTCACTAACAACTCTCAACCAATGAGCTTCTAGGTCTTCTGGATCCTCAGTGTGCAGTACTGTCCTGATTTAATTCATGCCATTAGAACTTTCTCTTTTTTTTGGTGCAGGGCCTTGCTGTTTAGTCCAAGGTGACCTCAAACTCTCAATCCTCCTACATGGGCTAGAGAAATGGCTCAGAAGTTAAAGGCATTGGCTATTCTTGCAGAAGACCTGGGTTTGGATCCTAGCACATACATGGTGCACTTGTGCAATGCCTATGTTTGTTCTAGTTTGTTTCTCCATTGCTGTGACAAAACACTTTGACCAATACCAACTTGGGGAGGAAAGGGTTTATATGGCTTACATCTCTTGGGTCACAGTTCATCACTGAGGGAGCTCATGGTAGGAATTCAGGACAGGAACCAGGAGGCAGGAGTTGAAGCACAGCCCATGGAGGAATGCTGCTTACTGGCTTGTTCCCCCGGCCCATGCTCAGCCTGCTTTCTTTTTTATGTGTGAGTGTTATGCCTGCATGTAGGTAAGTGCACCTGTGTCATGCCATGCCCTTGGAGGACAGAAGAGGCTGTTGGATCCCCTGGAACTGGAGTCATAGACAGTTGTTAACTGCCATGTGGGTGCTGGGATTTGAACCCAGGTCTTCTGCAAGAACAGTCAGTGTTCTTAACCTCAGCCTGATAACAACCTGCCCAGGGGTGGCACTACCCACAGTGGGCTGGGCCCTACCACATCACTCAAAAAAATCATGAAAATGCCCCAGAGACATGGCCATAGGCCAGTCCAATGGAGGAATTTCCCCAATTGAGGTTACATCTACCCCGGTTGTGTCAAGTTGGCAACTAAAGCTATCCAGCACACCAGTGGAGGCCAGGAGTGCGTTCGAGCCCCTGGAACTGGAGTTATGGATGGTTGTTGGCCACCATGTGGGTGCTGGGATTAGAATCTGGGTCCTCTGCAAGAATAGCCAGTGCTAACTTCTGAGCCAGCTCTCCAGCCCCTAAAACTTAAAAAAAAATTTTATTACTTTTATTTTATGTATATGCATGTATTGCCTGCATGTAGGTAAGTGCACCCATGTCATGCAATGCCCACAGAGGTCAGAAGAGGCTGTCAGATGCCCTGGGACTGGGGTTATGGACAGTTGTTAGCTGCCATGTGGGTCCTGGGATTCAAACCTGGGTCTTCTGCAAGAACAACCAGTGTTCTTAACCACTGAGCCATCTCTCCAGCCTCCCCTAAAATTTTTAAAATTTTTATTTATTTTTAAAATTTGTATTATTATTTTTTATGGTTTTTTTGAGACTGGCCCCAGCTGGCCTAGAACTCACTATGTAGACCAGGCTGGCCTTGAACTCACAGAGATCTACCTGCATCTGCCTCCCAAGTACTGGGACCAAAGCCATGTGCGTCACCATGCCTGGCTTAGTTACTAGGAATCAAACCAGGTTGTCTGCCAGAGCAGCCAGTGCTCTTAACCACTGAGCAAGCTCTCCCACCCCAATCCTGCAGTCGTTTTTTTAAAAAATTTGTGTGTGTGTGTGTGTGTGTGTGTGTGTGTGTGATGTGATGTGATGTGATGTGCTGTGTAGACATGAATGCATTCAAGTATGTGGAGGTTTGAGGACAATTTGTGGAGTTGGTACTTTCATTCACCATTTGGGTCCCAGGGATAGAACTCAGGTTGTCAGGCTCAGTGGCAAGTGCCTTTACCCACTGAGCCATCTTGCTAGCCCTCGTCTTGGTTTTCTGATGTCTACTTAAGTTGGTCAGTGGGAAAACTGTCAGTCTTGGTAACTAGCCTGTGGTTCTCAACCTTCATGTTTGGGTCCTATCCTAGATCACCTTTTAAAAAAGATTTATTTATGTATGTGTGTACAGCAGGTGCCCATGGAGGTCAGAAGGGTGTGTTCTGTCCCCTGGAACTGGAGTTACAGGCAATTGTGAGCCACCCAAGTGTGGGTGTTGGGATCTCAACTCCAGTTCTGATAGAGCAGTAAGCTCTCTTTTTTTGTTTTGTTTTTTTTTTGAGACAGGGTCTCCCTATAGCTCCAGCCAACTGGCCTGGAACTTACTGTATAGACCAGACTGGTCTCCAGATCTGCATGCCTCTGCCTCTCGAGTGCTTGGATTAAAGGCATGCACCACAATACCCAGCTCAGTAAGTGCTTTCAACTATTGAGCATATTTCCAGCCCTGGACTACTGTTACAACTAAGGTTGACATAGGGTGTTTTCCTTAATCACTCTCTACCTAATAATATATAAATATGATGTAATAAATTATAATAACATGTCATTTAGTATTAGTTTGTGGATGATTGTTAGCCACCATGTGGATGTTGGGAATCGAACACAGGTCCTCTGCAAGAGTAGCCAGTGCTCTTAATTGCTGAGCCATCTCTCCAGCCCCTTTTTGTTTTTTTTTTGGGGGGGGCAGGGTTTCACTATGTAGTCCTGGCTGGCCTCAAATTCAGTTTGCCTCTGTCTCCCGAGAGTTGGTATTAAAGGTGTGCACCACCTTTTAAAAAATAATTTATGACAGTTTCATAAATGTATGTAATTCTGGTCACACTTATCCCTTCCCCCCTTTCTTGCCCTCCTACTATCCCCTCTAATCCCTTCCCCAACCTAGTCCCCATCCCACTTTCATGTCTTTTTGTTTTTGCTTGGTAACCTAGTGGGTTTAACTAGCACCTCTTGTGTGGTCATGGGTGCAACACTACCCACTGGAGCGTAACTCACCAGTGAGTACATATTATTATTTTGAGAAAGGGTCTCACTGAACCTGCAGTTCACCTAGTCAGCTAGGCTGTCTGGCCAGTGAGTGCAAGGGATCCATCTGTGTCTGCCCTGCTAGTGCTGGTACACTGCTGTGCCTGGCTTTTACATGGCTGCTGGGGATTCAAACTGAGGTCATTATGTTTGTGCATCAAGTACTTTACTGACTAAGCCATCTTCCCAGCCTGAGACTTTTTGTTATATCAGGAAGGCAGTTCCCTTTGGAGGCCCTTATGCTTGCCAGTGGCCCCTGAGTAGCAGATCTGTTTTCTACATACCTCACAGTTTGGACTTGCCACCAAGTTCACACACACACACACACACACACACACACACACACACACATATGTGTGTGTGTGTGTGTATGTCTTAAAAAAAGAGGGAGGGAGGGGGCTGGAGATTCCAACAGTACTATAGAGAAGTAATCAGTCTTAAAGGAATTTAGAAGGGGGGAATGAAAACCCAAATCAAGGAAGGGTGTAAAAACAAAGTCTTAATTCATGAGTCACCCCTGATAAAATTTCAGATAATTAACCAGATGATAAGTTATAAAACTTGATTCCCTGTAATATTTGTAGTTACCCGAGTATTTGAATTACTAAGAAAACTAGTTAAGAGTGGCAGAGAAGGCTTGATTAAAATAGTTCATTTAGGAGAAAAGCTTTGTGGGCAGATGAGTCATGTTTGTTAGCATTTCTGATGAATTGACATTGGCATGTTAATCCCCTGATGAAAAATCAGTAAGTGATTTTTAAAATAGAGTTATTGTAAGTCTTATCAAATTGGCTTCTGCATGCTAGGCGCATACATAAAAGAGCAGAAATCCATTACTGTGAACTGCTGATCAGTTTTAAATCACTCTGTATAAGTGAAATCTTCTACCTTGACCCTCGCTGTGGAATACTGCCTTCCCCAAACCACCATAGCAGAAAAATAAGGCAAATGCTTATTTTACTTCATTTTTATTTCAATATAACATGCAGTAAGAAAAAAATTAACAGGATTTATTAGCATTTACAATGCTTACAAAGAAAAAGGATCTTAAAAGCAATTTAGTTTTGATTTAAGAAAAAGCTCTAGTTAAACACTTACAATAAATCTATTTTCAAATATTCATTTTGGATCAAAATTTGAGAGCGTTTGGTAAATATGCCTGCTGTGTATTTTCAGTATTTTTATATAACCTCTGATTCTTGGGATATCCAGCCCCCATTTTCCTACCACAGCAGGGAAGACATATACATGTGATCAATTAAATTAAAGGAAGAAATGGAGTAGAGAGACCCCAGGGCTGCAAAAATATATACAAGCATTTACCTTTTCCAGAACTAAACATTTCTTCCATAAAAATATTAAATAGCCAAGCCCTATAGAACTAGGGCCAGGGCTACTTCAAATATAGCTTCTGTATTTTAAAAATATAGGGCAGAAAGCCTTTTGGGTGATATTTATACATTTTCACATAATATTTCTAGGTCCCTAAATGAATCATGAAGCATTATGCAGAATCGACAAAGCTTATTTTCTTACATTATCTCTTAATTTAATCTCATAAATCTCTAGTAAATATGGTAGATAACTACATTTTAGTACAAGAATTTGACTCAACAGGAAGTCTTTAGAGAAGGCTTAATCTTTATAGCCAGATATTACCAAAGTTCAGACCTATATAATGAATAGTTGGCAGACATTCGCTCTGTAAGACAAAGCAATAGCATATTTTTTAACCCTACCAACAAAAAGGCAGAGAGTCCCTACTTTGGAAACAACTAGGGCTTCTAGAGATGACATGTTTTCTGTGGTATATGGGATAAAAAACAGAGTTGGGGAGAACCTAATCTCTCCCTTGACACTGACAACTTCTAGAGGAGGCAACGCTTTCACACACATAAGTCTCTGCTTATGATGGCAGTGTTACAGAGTACAGCTGCACAAGTTAAAAATGTTTCTGTTGTTCCAGGTTGTAAATAGGAAGAGCAGCTAGGGACATGAAAACATTTTCTTTCCTATGGATCTCTGCATATTCTTGGCTTCATGCTACTTGTTCATGCTATGCTATGGTAACATGCCAAAGTCCCTATCATGTGAGTTATAAGGCTGTTTTGGGATTTGGCTGTAACAGGGGCTCAACTGGCTGAGGCTTCATCTACTCCCATGAAGTCAAATCCATGGCAGCAGCCATCCTGACAGTCTAAGCTAGGCCAAGTTAGAGTAGTTAACTACAGAGAAGGTCAAAGTGCATTCATCAGTTACTAGAGGAATTGTGGAGAAAAAAGGAAAACCTAAAATTTTTAGGGGTGAGAAGAATATTGCAGATGAGAAATATCAACTTAGTTCAGGACAATAGAAACAGCAAGGACTACCTCAGTACGTATCAAAGTAAGGGCGAAGAGAATGCATGTGTATGGTTACTGGATGGCATCTTTTTGCTCTCCCAAATGAAAACATGATTTCAGAGATTGTACCACTGACCTCTATCTGGATTAGAAAATAATGACAACTTGACTTCTTTAGCAATAATGAAATGCAACTGAAGTTGTTGGATTATGATAAAATCATAAAGACTCTATGTGTAGGATCATTTAAAAATCAAGAATGACTTTAGATGAATTCAGTTAAATTAATTTTAATTCTAGGTTAACTTTTAAAAACAGTGAAGGAACCACAGTGTTGATATTGTTTATAAAGTTTAGTATTGTCAAGGCAATTAAAATAAACTTCCAAATGAAGAGAGATATGAAGTCATTTGCCAGCTGGAACCAAGTTTTCCCTGAATTCAAATAGACACAACTACTTTGTAGAAAGATGCAAGAGTCTTGCATCACTTCCAGGAATAACATCAAAGTGATGCACTGATTCATGCTCGAGGAATGAGAAACAACAGTCAGGCCAGGCTGAAAAGAGGGCGAACACAAACCAGCAGTTTGCTCATGTGCCCAGGAAGCTGGGCTAAGCTTGCACTTTTATTAAACTCCTCTTACAAGAGGCTTAATAGGAAGATCTTGGATATTGCAGTTACCAAGAGACTTCCTGCGTATTTGCAGAATCTCTTAAAACCTACTCCATTCTGAGGTGAGACTTTTGACACACATAGAAAATTGGTGTTAAGGGAACAATCTAGTCGAATAAGACAAGGGAGATTTCATTGATGTGTTAAAAATCTCGTGTTAAGTAAGTTTGTAGATCTGATTTCTGGAAATGCTGAGCAGAAATCCAGAATCACTGGGAGAGAAATCTCAATCATAACATTAATTTACTTACACTCAGATAACTCTCTAAATAGTTGTAGTTCAAGTTTACATTAAGATGTACAACAAACAGAGAAGGAAAAGGACAAACACTGCAATAAGTTCTTGTCCTTTGGTGGTGTAAGGTCTCAGAAATTACTCTTGTCCAAATCCTTCTGTTTCTTCAATGGCAAATAACAGCTTTTCCTTCAGTTGCTCATAGCTCTTATAAGGTGGAAGGTCCAGACGGTTAAAACTGAAAGGAAGAATTGTTGGTTTAGGAAAAGGAAATATACAAAGAAACATGGGCAGTGCAGTATGGCAACAGACTTTAATGTTGGGCAAAAAGGGTTCCCACAGCCTTCGAGGAACTGCTTTTAACCTTTCCAAGACTAGGTCAAGTTTCTTCTCTGGTAAAATGGGAATAACAGTACCTACCTTTCATGTTAGAGTTAAGAGACAAGCACAGTATACTCCTTTAATCTCAGCACTCAGGAGGCAGACAGATCCTTGTGCGTTTGAGGGCAGCCAGGACCATAGTGAGTGCCTGGTGTTCAGCAGACCCTCAGTAAATTGTTAAGTCTTCTCATGCTCCCCCAACTACCCACTCTAGATCAGGGATCAGCAGACTTACTATGAATGGCCAAACAATAAATACTTTAGGCTTTCCATTGCTATGTAAGGCTTTAAGTAATATGTTAAGAATTAGAGCTGGCCTTCTCTAATATTCTGCTTCCTTTAGATTTCTCTGTCCTATTCCTAGCTATGAATTTTCCCATTTAATTTAGAGAGGGAGTGGGAGAGAGACTACATGTTTATGTGGAAGTCAGAGGGCAACCCACAGGAGCCAGTTCACTCGTTCTACCATGTGGGTCCTGAAACTTGAACTCAGGTTGTCAGGCTTGGCAGCAAGGACCTTTACCTGCTAAGTCATCTTGCTAACAGAAGATGAATTTTTAAACAGCATCTTTATTTTTGTTTGCTGAGGTAGAGCCCCACCTCTGCCTCCCAAGTGCTGGGATTAAAGGCGTGCACCACCATGCCCCACCGGCATGCCTCATTTAAACAATATCTTCAAATGTGGGTGTACTACCACCTTCATAAGGTTACACAATGAGTATTTATATATTTTAGGATAAGGGCGAAGGGAATGCTTGTCCGGAGAAGAAAAAATGCCACCCATGAAGAAGATAAGTTTATAATTATGTTTTTTTTGTGTGTGTTTTTGTCTTTTTGAGATAGGGTCTCCCTGTAGCCCCAGCTGTCCTGGAACTCACTATATAGACCAGGCTGGCCTCGAACTCACAAAGATCCGCCTTCCTCTGCCTCCCAAGTGCTGGGACTACAGGCGTGCGTCACCACACCCAGCTTTTTTTTTATTTTTTTGAGACAGGTCTGTCTGTATCCCCAGCTGGCCTGGAACTCACTATGCAGATCAGGTTGGCCTTGATCTCACAGAGATCCACCTGCCTCTGCCTCCTGGCTAATATAATTATGAGTTTTGTCACTTCTTGCAAGCATGGTTCAAAGGGCTAGGTAAAATTAAAACATGTACAACATGGATGCAAAAAATAATATTTCTAGATTGCTCAGAGGGTAAAAGCGCTTGCTGCCAAGCATGAAGACCCTGGGATTTCCATGGTCTCTTCATTTTGAAAAATAGAACAGAACCAACTCCCTTAACTGTCTTCTCACCTACACATGCTGCAGCATGCACAACAACACACACAAAATAAACTAAAATGTAACATTTTAAAAGATTTTATTGGGGCTGGAGAGATGGCTTAGCGGTTAAGAGCACTGACTGCTCTTGCAGAGGATCCAGGTTCCATTCCCAGCACCCACATGGTGGCTACGAACCATCCTTAACTCCAGTTCCAGGGAAATCTGAAGCTCTCTTCTGACCTCCGAGGCATTGCATGACACGGGTGCACTCACATACATGCAGGCAATACACTCATACACATAAAAAATAAAAAAAAGATTTTATCTGTTTCTATGTATCTGTGTGACTGTATACCATGTGTGTGGTGCTATGGAAGAGGGTAATGGATATTCCCTTCCCACCCCAGGAAGTGTTTTTTAACCATTCAGCCAATTCTCCAGCCCCATAAATTACACACACACACAGAAAACAAAAAAACAACTGCTTCCTGGGCTGGTGAGATGGCTCAGTGGGTAAAGGTGTGAGACAACTTGAGCTCAATCCTTGGTTACCTGGTGGAAGAGAACTAACTCTTTTAGGTTGTCCTGTGCTCTCTACATGTATGCTGTGGCATCCTTGTGCACACACATGTACACACAATAAAAAAATGTAAATTTTTGTTTTGAGACAGTGTCACTCTGTAGTCCCAGGTGACCTGGGACTCTATGTATACCAGGCTGGCCTTGAACTCACTGAGATACACCTGCCTCTGCCTCCCGAGTGCTGGGACTAAAGGTATGTACCACCACCTCTAGCAAAATTTTTTAATTAAAGCAACAACAACAAAACCCAAGTTTCGTCTTCCTCAATGTGCAATATGATGCACACAGGATGCAATGTGACAACCAGGTTCTGGTGCCTGCCACCATACCTTTTCTGCCTGCTGACATGTGTTCCCTACCACGGCCTGTATCTCCCTGGAAGTGAAAGCCAAAATAAACCCTTTGCCCTTAAAAATAAATTCCAGCTGGATGTGATAGAACACACCTTTATTCCCAGTACTTGGTCAACTTGGGAGACAGAGGCAGGCAGATCACTGTGAGTTCTAGGCCAGCCTGGACTACATGGTGAGTTCTAAGCCAACTTGGCTATGGGGAGACCCTGTCTCAACAACAAACCCCCAAACCAAATTATTTACATTAGCATCAAAATAAATATGTCATTTTTTAAGTTGGGCATGGTATTCTATGCTTAAAACCCCAGTATTTGGAAGGTGGAAGCAGGACAACTAGGAGTTCAAAGCCAGTTTAGGCTAATGCAAAAAACCATAAATTACACTAGAGAGATAGCTCAGCGGTTAAGAGCACTGACTGCTCTAGCAGAGGACTTGGGTTTGATTCCTGGCACCTGATAGAATATGTGAATTCCAGGAGAGCCATAAGCTTCATTAGAGGAGGCCATAAAAACATGAATTCCTTAGAGTGGCTTAACTTGCCCTAAATCAGCAGTCTGGCCTTGCTCAAGGACCTTATCAACTGGTCATTCCCTGGACTGAGAGAGACTGTAGAGCCCACCTGTCTCCTCTAGTGCTATAGATAACTCACCCGCCAGCCTGAGCAAATAATATTGAGAAAAGAGACCCTCAAGGACACAAGACCCTGGCACGGAATTAACTCTTGCAGCTGTGTGCAGCAGAGTTCCTATCTAAGACCACACTGCTCTGCTCCCCCTTCAGATTTGCAGATAATCATTCCTTGAGGAACAGCTTTTATCAGCCCTTTGTTGGGCTTCCTGAATCCAGAGCTTTAAACTCCTTCGTTTTTCTGCTCTCCTAAATCTAACAGCATCCCCATGGTGGCTAACAACCATCTGTAACTCCAGTTCCAGGGGATCTGATCCCTTCTTTTGACCACCTTGGCCACTGCACAAGGATGTACTTACATACATGCAGGCAATATACTCATACACATATAATAAATATTAAAAAAAATAAGTCATATAAATATGTACAAATATTTGTGCCAATTAAAAATAAAATAATAGTTGGGCATGTTGGCATATGCCTTAGTCCTAGTACTAGGGAGGCAGAGGCAGGCAGATAACTGCAAGTTCAAGGCCAGCCTTGTTTACACAGTGAGTTTGAGGCCAATCAGGTCTGTATAGTAAGACCCTGTCTCAAAGAAAAATAAAGAAGGCTATGGATGTGGCTCAGTGACAGAGTACTTGCTCAACCAATGTGTGAGGCACCAGGTTTGTTCCCTAAAACCAGATACACCAAAAAAATAGTCTATTAAATAAAAGAAAATCCTGATATATAAGATAACCTGTTAACACACTATTTTAAGTAAAATATGCCAGTAACAGAAGGACTGAGTTATGATTCTATACTTAGGAAATAATTAGTCAATGATCCTAAAGACAGAAAGAATGTTGGTTGCCAGGAGCTGGAAAGAGGGAATAATTGTTCAGTAAGCATATATCAGTGGATGGATGATGGAGATAACCGCATGACCTTGCAAATGTACTTAAAACTCAACTACATACACTTAAAAATGATTAAAGTTCTCAGGGCATGGTGGTGCATGCAGGAGGCAGAGGCAGGCAGATCTCTGTGAGTTCAAGGCCAGCCTGGTTTACATAGTGAGTTCCAGGCCAGCTGGGGCTACAGGGAGACCCTGTCTCAAAAAGACCAAAAAAAGAAAAAAAAAAAAAGTTCAACATTGTTATTAAATTGAATTCCAACATAAACTGTATTTGAGGTTAAGACTGATTTTAGTTTGGTACATTTTTGGAAATGAGGTTACACTATATTTTAAATGAGAAAATCAAGCCTGGGTATATAGCTCAGTTAATAGAGGGCTTATCTGGCATATGCAAGGCCCTGGGTTCAAGTCCTAGTACTACAAAAAGAAAGCCAAAAAAGAAAGAAAATAATTCTGTTTACCATGATAGTAAGTAGGTATTCTAACTTCAAGTTTCTTTTCCTGCTTCAAAGAAAAGTTATTACTTTTTGTTTTTAAATTTTTGAGACAGAGTCTCCCTGTAGCTCCAGCTGGCCTGGAACTCTCTATGTAGACTAGACTGGCCTTGAACTCACAGAGATCCACGTGCATCTGCCTCCTGAGTGCTAGGATTAAAGACATGCACCACCACACCTAGCTCTGTGTGTGTGTGTGTGTGTGTGTGTGTGTGTGTGTGTGTGTGTGTGTGTGTGTATGAATGTATGAATGGCTTATCTGCATGTATGTAAGTGTACCATGTGCACACAATGTCTACAGAGGGCATTGGATCCTCTGAAACTGGAGTCAAGGACCATTGTTTGCAACCATGTGAGTGCTACGAACCAAACCCAGGTCCTCTGTAAGAGCAGCCAGTGCTATAGTGCTATTAACTACTGAGCCATCTCTCCAGCCCCCTCTGTTCTAACTATTCTTCTTTTTTTTTTTTGGTCTTTTTTGGAGACAGGTTCTCTCTGTAGCCTCAGCTGGCCTGGAACTTGCTATGTAGACCAGGCTGGCCTTAAACTCAGAGAGATCGCCTGCCTCTGCCTCCCAAGTGCTGGGATTAAAGGCGTGTACCACAAAACCAGGGGATCCAACAGCCTCTTCTGTCCTCCACGGGCACTGCACGACACTGGTGCACTTACCTACATACAGGCCATACATGCATACACATAAAAATAATAAGAGAGAAAAAGAATGAGAGCAGTCATGTAATAGTAATGTGGCATGTTCTACTTTATGTTTCAGAATTGGCTCCATTACCTATTAATTGCCATTATTAACTCCTTATCTCTGTAGTTAGAAATACTGTAATGAAGGCTGGGCATGGTGGTGCACACCTTTAATCCCAGCACTCACAGAGGCAGGTGGATCTCTGAGTTCCAGGCCAGCCTGGTCTACATAGTGAGTTCCAGGCCAGCTGGGGCTACAGAGAGATCCTGTCTCAAAAAAAAGGAGAAAAAAATATTCTAAATCTCACACTTAAAAACTCATAGAAGCCGGGTGTGGTGGCGCATGCCTTTAATCCCAGCACTCAGGAGACAGAGGCAGGCGGATCTCTGTGAGTTCGAGGCCAGGCTGGTCTCCATAGTGAATCCAGGACAGCTGGGGCTATAGGGAGACCCTGTCTCAAAAAGACCAAAACAAACAAACAAACAAAAAAACCCCAAAAAAACAAACTCATAGAGATAGGAAAAGGGATGCATGGCAAATGGGTACAAGGGACCATTTTTAGTTACTGGACATACTCTAAAACTGGACTGTGGTGATGGCTGCATGCCTCTGTAGATCTACTACAGAGAATTAAAGTGGGTTAATTTGCCTGGTATGGTGGTACACACCTGTAATCCCAGCCCTCAGGAGGTAGAGGCAGGAAGCAGGAGTTCAGGGCTAGCTTGGGTTATGTAAGACCTGCCTCAAAAAAAAAGGCTATGTGTGTTAACTTTGTGATACACAAATTCTACCCGTGTCAAGCTGTTAAAATACTATGGGGAAATTATTTTATTTCTAATTTTTTTTTTTGGTCTTTTTGAGACAGGGTTTTCCTGTAGCCCCCAGCTGTCCTGGAACTCACTATGTAGACCAGGCTGGCCTTGAACTCAGAGATCTGCCTGCCTCTGCCTCCTGAGTGTTGGGATTAAAGCGTGTGCCACCACGACTAGCTCTAATTCTTTTTTCTTTAATTTTTAATTTTATGTGTATGAGTGTACTGCCTACATGTAAGTGCATCCGTGTCATGCAATGCCAGAGGAGGTCAGCAGAAGGCATCAGATCCGCTGGAACTGGAGTTACAGACAGCTGTTAGCTGCCATGTGGGTTCAGGGAATTGAACCCATGTCTTATGCAAGAGCAGTCAGTGCTCTTAACCACCGAGTCATCTCTCCAGACCCTCATTTCCAATTCTTTTTTGGTCTTTTTGAGACAGGGTTTCCCTGTATCCCCTGCTGGCCTGCCTCTGACTCCCAGGTGCTGGAATTATAGGCGTGTGCCACCACACCCAGCTCCCATTTCTAAATCTTTTTTTTTTTTTTTTTTTTGGGGGGGGGGGGGTCAAAGGCTTGAAACAGGTATTAAAGCAGTGTAGGCCACAAAGCACTGATTCTTCACATGGGTTGACAAGGCAACTGAAAGCAGATGAGAGTCTGGCATCTCTGCATGTCCTTGTGCCTGGACTTCAGCAAAATATAAGGAGATGAGCTACTGTTCTTAACCTTTCCTCTTGAGCCACCTTGAACTTCAGGAAGAACAAAATCTGTTAGGGCAGGCATCACTCCGCCACTCACCTATCTAGCCATGAAGGCAATGACACATGAACATGAGGCTGTACCCTTAGTGAGTAACAGCTTAGCAATTAAACAACTGGATCAGCTTGCAGGTAGACCAGGCTGGCCTTGAACTCACAGAGATCCTCCTGCCTCTGCCTCCCAAGTGCTGGGATTAAAGGCATGCACCACCACGCCCAGCTCCATTTCTAATTCTTAACAGGCTCTAAGCAGTCAGAGAGTAAGTGGACAAAAGACTATTTTCTGTATTCTTTCTGATTTTGCTTACCAGGTATGGCTTCTGGGTAACCAATTTTCTTTCCCAACTTTTTCAATGCAGAACTTCTGTGGTCCATTACTCCCTAAAACATAATAAAAATGTAAAGAGTTTGTTGGTTCAAAAGTCATCAAGTTATGCTTCCTAATTCAGCAGCAGCATCACCAAGTTAGAATCACAAATCTATAGGTCCTATCCCAAACCTACTGAGTCAAAAACTGCCCTGCCTAGGGGACTGTGGTACAAGTTTAGCAAGTTCCCACTCTTTAGAAGCACCTGGAAGGTCTGAGAATCATTTTGTTAATGTATATCTAAGGAGGGAAAAAATGCATTTTTATCTAGCATTTCTTAAACAGAGTAGCACAATGCCATGATTAATAGTAGCTCACATAAGAATGCATAAATACCCAAATGTCAAAACTTTATGAATGCAAGCATTCCAGTGATTTTAACAGAAATGCCTGTTTCTAGGAATACATCAGACCTTTAACATATACTCATCCCCTCCAAAATTCTTGCCTTTACTTACTTTCTGTGGGTAGTGATCAGCACTGGGCACTGGTTTAATGGAGGTGACTACTGCTACCTACGAAGCTTTCATTGGTGGTCAAAATGATTGGTAGTGCTACCTGTTTTTTTTTCTTTAAAAAAATATTTTTATTTGATGTATGTATTTACCTGTATGAATGTATGTGTATTTTGTGCATGCCTGATGCCTGCAGAGGCCAGAAGAGGGTGTTGGATCCCCTGGAACTTGATTTACAGATGACTGTGAGCTACCATGTAAATGAGAAAGGAAACCAAACCTAGGTCCTCTGCTGAAGAGCAGCAAGTGCTCTTTTTTTTTTTTTTTT